GAATAAATATATCCTTTAATTACACTATCAATTTAATTTTCTCCAAAGATAACAACTTAACAGGATATCCGCAGAACTATGCATAACTCTCAGAACTAGTTCTGTACTTGAAAAAAAAAAAAACATGTTAGAAAAACGTGTTAGAAATAAATGTTTTCCTAATTTTGCTGGATAATTATTTGACTTGGATAATCATTTCTCAATTAATGATTTGTCTTGTTTAAGAAAACAGCAAAATGTTGCAGGATTTGTACATTGCCCTTACTTAAATTCAATATTTCAGCACCTACAAAGGAACATAATGTACTGGAAACAATATTTATTTTCCAGAGAAATTTAATAAACAACCTAACAGCTAATTTAGGATAATAAAAATATATCGTAGATATTTTTCCCCATTAAAAAACACGATATGTTAGTTATTAATTTACAAATCATGTAAATAGTTACATACAAAAAAGATGTCCTTTCACTTCGGAGTTCCGAATGACAATAAAAACTGAATAAAAAGGTGAACGCTGAATGCAAGGTGAACACAAAGTGAACGGAACGAAGAGCGAACGTTGAACGCAAGAGCACGGAGAACGTTGAACGCAAAACTGTTAACGGTGAACGAAGAGTGAAGGCACGCTGAACGAACGGACAACGAACGGTGAACGATCGAAAAAGTTAGAACGTTTCAGGGGGTGTAATATGTTGAAATAGTATCTGGTGTATCAAAATAAATACTGTATAAATATTACATCCTATAAGACATGGGCATTATATACTGAATTGTGGGAATTGTTCTAATTCCCAGTGTTTGTAAATTATGCCTCCAGGTCGAATAAATGTTTTTTCAAGCCTCTGGATTTTATACCACCCGCTTGAAAAGCAGGGGGTTTGTAGAAATGGGGTGTCCTCCATTCCGTCCGTTCATTCGTTCGTCTGTCTCTACGTCCGTCCACTGTTACGCTTTTGGATACCCACCCCTTATAATAAAAAACTTATTATGAATGAAAACATTGATCATATCATACCTTGTGATCACAACTAAAAATATTTGAAATAAGCTTTTTTATTTTGAAAAAAAAAATCTTTCGTTTCTATCAAAAGCAAAAATTATATTTCATGAATCAACTTCATAAATACCCAAAATTTTAAAGTATACAAATACTAAATATGACATCGGGAGACCGAATTGCAAAACTAGCAACATATGCCGTGAAATTCACATATTATTATGAGCTACAGAAGAGACAAAAAATGGACACCAAAATAAAATAGCATTGAATATGCATCTTGCGCCAAATAGACTTGTTTAATTCCAGTTGCTTCAGGTAATTATATCTCAGATTTGCGTTGTGTTTTCTACGTGTAATATACACAATCATCGTATGCAGAATAGGTATGCCTGCATCTATGCACCAAATTTAAGAGATTCTTTTTTTTGTCCAATACTTGTGCCTGAGATATAATTATAAAATATTGTAGATATTATAATATATATGATAATATATAATATTGATGCCACATTCATTTTTTTATTGATACTGGTCCCATCTTAAAACAGGTAACAATAAAATCTTTGTAAGACTCATTATTACAAATTTATTTTAGAGGATCTTTAATTTAATGTTACGAAGGGAAATATAATTTAAACTCATAGTATAACCTTAGTACCCTTTCTAAGGAGGATTTTTATCAATCCCTCTCACTTAAGTAACAAATGTAAACACAGTAACCAACTAAAGCAAGTTCGTTTATCTCTCAGCTTTAAAGGTTCGAACTCCACTAACAGTCATTACTATTGATATTCATCACTAACTTTGGGTTTTCGTGGAACTACAAAATTCTCACAGTTGTTCTAACTTTTGCAACCCGTTAAAGGTGTTGTTTTGAATTGTAGTTATTTTGTTGGAATACAGCCGTCTAAAATGGATTTTTAAAATTATTTAATCGAGTATTTTTGCTATAAGCATTCAGTCTTTTGCCTTCAAAATCAAAAGAAATAAACAGAATCTCTGAACATGTTTACAAGTATAAGTCTAAGTGATAGTTTACATGTGATTTATGTTATTTTTATATCTTTAATGTTCATATCTTGTTTGATATGGATATCTCTAACATACTTTTTTGCCCAATAATTACAAATAACAAAATTTTCCACAAGTATTTTGTATTTTTTTTTTATATGAAAATCAAACATAGGTGCAAATTCGGAATAATGATTAACCTATTTGAATTTTTCAATACCTATCCGTATTTTCAAGCTAGTGCCGAAGTACTTAGCTACTGGGCTGTAGATCCTCGGGACCTAATCTACATTATAATGTTATTGTAAAATAGAAAACAAATGCAGCACATGTAAATATCTATAGTTCTCGAATGTATTAAAATAAAGACAGTTTTGAGCTTCTTTTCTGAAGGTTGAATTTTGTTATTTATGTACAGTAAATAATATGTTAGTTATTTACATATGCTGCATTTTTTTTCTTTTTTACTCAATATCCTAGACGCTATGCATTCATTTCCTCTAATGCTTTTATAATTGGTTAGCAATGAAAGGAATATTTTATCCTTTTATGGAAAAAATGATTATAATCTTTTATTCTGAATTGAAAATCAATCTGTTACTCTCAAATAAATAACCGTACTGATTACATAGAAATATTTTTATATTTAACCAAGCAGACCAACATATACTGTGAAACCATAAATTTTCGTTGGGTTTAATTTTCATTGATTTAGAGGTTGGAGATATCCACGAATTCTTGACTCCCACGACATGTAAAAATCTAATATGCATTACTACCAAACACTTCTCCAACCACGAGATGAAATCCCCACAAATCAATATTTTTTCCCTCAAACCCCGAAATTTGCTACCACGAAAATATGTGATTTTACAATACGTTTTTTCAATCAAAATATTATTAGAATTATACATGTACCAGAACCTCAATCATCAATTGTTGGTGTCCTTTGTAGTTCGTATAGTTTATACACAATTCACATAACAAGTTTAGTGAGATATATTGCGAATAAAATATACGTCGATTTTAGTATCAACCCACGAACTGTGATCAACATCAAAAATCTATAAACAATATAACTCTCTGAAATGGACATAACACAGGGACCTTAAAAATTCCAGAGAAGAGATCAGGTGCCTCATAATAATATTCATGGACTAATCAGGGTTGTAATCACCCGCCGTGAGCACAACGTATTGGTCAGGTATACAGCTGCAGAACGTTCTCTATCAAATTCAGAATAAAAAGAAAGGCCTAGCAATTGGTAAGAATCCCGTCGGCCAAAAGACGACAGAAAGATCGGTTATATTTGCTATCAAAATCATTATAACGCCCAGAGATTAAGGAAATGCTGACTTTAAACAAGGTTAACAAAATTCCTGTAAAATCAACCTATCAGTAGCCTGCCTCGGTTTAAATATTGATTGTACTCGGATTATATTCTCGAGTGTCGGATAAGCTGGGAGTTGTAAACACTATATGCAGGTTATAGTGTGATAGAAATCAGGAAAGCTGACGATTGTAAAGACGAAGTCTTTTCGTTTGTCCTACAATTTAGTTGTTAGATGGTCCTTATCGCCATTTAAACGGGTAACGCTGGGGAGTCGCTAAAAAGTATGGGGAAGCGGTTTTAGTCAGGATGGATGTAGGTCACGTGTTTTTTTTCGTTATTGGAAGATTTCATATTCACGGCAAACGAGTGGTCACAACATGTATGATTTGCACAATCGAAGACATGCAATTGTTTATGGACTTTTGAGCTTGAATCCTGTTCGTAATCTTCATATGTTTCATGTATAAAGTTTCTGACAAATAAAACAGCAAAAACATTGAATCGTAAAAGTCTAAACAAAATCCAAATTGTTCAAATTGTTGCAACATAATATCATTTATTTTATTGATAAAAAAAAATTACAGGTGTAAAACTTTTCAGATAAATAGACTTTTAAGGTTTGTAATTGATTTTATTTAAAAAGGCGGAGAACAATAGTATTAAGGAAATTTGAGATAATTATTTTTTGGAGGTTTAACCGTAATTAAATTCTAAAGTAAAGATTTTAAGGTACCTTGGTTATCGACATATCAAGCTAGTTTTCTTCCTAATGAAAGTATTTTGGTTACCGACCTAGTGATCTTTACTTTTGACCTACGTATAAAATATTTATTAGTGTTTAAATACAGTGCATTTTTAATTCTAAAGGTAAGTTTATGCCATTTAGCTTGTGCAGTTTGTCATAGAAATATATATTAAAAATATACTAGCGTTACAAATCTCTTGACAGTAATTGACCTACTTGGCAAAATAGTCAGGATGGTAATACCCCCCGCCTGAAAAGCGGGAGGGTATATAGTGATCGGGATTTCCGTCCGTCTGTCCGTCTGCCCGTCTGTACGTCCGTCCGTCCGTCCGTCTGTTACGCTTTTCCTCTTATCCGCTACTCCTCTTATACTACTGAATTGAATTTAATGAAACTTTCACAGAATTTTGTTTACATTTTGCCATTGTGCACCTCCTATTTTACTTTTTTATTCGACACGTATTTTAGGTTTCCCAGAGCAAAACATGGACATTGCCATTTTTTGTTTACCTATCACATAACATAATAGAAGCTTCTGGATAACATTTGATAGGACGAGTTATTCCTCTTTACACATTACCGTAAAACTATATAAAGCAACACATCGACAGTATGGGAGGCGGGGTTATCATTTAGTGAGCTCATTGCTCACAGTAAAAATACGTGTAACGAGATTGTTTACTACTATAATATTTATTGGCGTCTTTAATGATGCTATAAATCACGTGACACACTCGTTCCTTTGAGCACTAAAGTTTGGTTGATATGGTCTTAGGTACTTTAATTTCTGCAGCTTTATAAAACTACAGCGCAGGAAAAAGCTTGAAACTTGCTCATTTATGACACATGGGTAACATTTTTTTCGAATTCGACACATGGATAATTTTTACACACACAAAATACTCACAGTTCAAGTAAATTTGGCAAACCATTAAAGACATTGTTTTGAATTATGCTTATCTTGTTGTAGGATAGCCATCTGAAGGAAAAAAACATAAATTGATACAAGTGTTTTGCTATAAGCATTCAGTTTATTTCGAACTAAATGAAATTGAAATGTGAAATTATGGAATAAATCGAATCCAAGACTTTAGTTGCTGGTGTTGGTGAATTACATATTTATAAGCATAATATTGTACAAACACTTAAATCAATCACATCATTATAGCCTAATGTAAGAATCAGTAAACTAGAGTAAAAATAAATGCTTCATTAAAGCAGCTGTAAAACTTGTTAATATCCCAAAAATATATTAACTGAAATATGTGAAATTTACAGCAACCATTGCCTGTTTTATAGACAGGTTAACATGTAGATTTCAATAAACAAAAATTATATAATGGGTATGAACAATGGGTACCGTCCTTGGCATCAATGACTTACAACAACCGATGTATATTTGCGAAATTTCAACAAAATATTACTAATTATGTTTTATTGACTTTAAGACATATAGCAAAATTAATAAAAATCATTTTGGGATTTGTTCATAATGTTTCAAAGATACATTTGATAGTAAAAAGGATTGATACTCAAAGGTCAACCTATATTTTGAAAAATGAGTAAAAAGGACAGTGTGTAGCCAAAAAAAAAAATATATTAAAAAAAAACAAAACAAATTTTCTACTTATCCACGTTTGTATGAAATTCTAACAGATAAAGAAACTTGAATCCATTTTGCTTTAAGCCCTCAAAACAAATTTACAATAAGATGCACTTGACAAAACTGCAAAGGACTAAGAAGAGCAAAGAATTGCAGGATCATAAAACAGTTTTATATGCTATTTTCTTAAATATTAGCGGTCTTGATCTTCAAATTCATATTCGGGGAGGAAGTACAAATTTCTTGAAGAGTCTAGAAAACAATTTTTTTGCAAAAAAATTGAAAGGTTTATGAGAGGAAGGAAACAGAATGAGCAATTCACTACATTAAATGTCTTCATGACGGCGTCCAAACCCATAGGCCATGAAGAGTAAAGGTGATTTTTCTTTGCCCAATCATGACAGTGAGCATACAGCGGGCGTGACCAATCAACAGGGGATGCTCACTCCTCCATGGAACCTGATCCCACCTCTGATGTTTTGGATGTATGTATCTGCTCCTGATTTGTATTGTTTCAATGGACATTTGACCTTGATTACTGTTTGTTATTTTACATACGTCATAATAAATCAATCATTGCTATTCTTTAAGTAAATATGACGATTTAGGCAGACTTGGTGAGTAGAGTACTGTTCTAGTGGCTAAATAAATCATTCTTCCATCTCAAAGACAGCAATGTTTTCTTTCTAAACTTTAAATCTTCATATTAACATGATGACGTCTTCATTACGTCTTGTTTAATCTATGTTGTTAAAATGTACTTATAATTTTGATCATTACTTCACGAGATCTTGATTATTTGCATCACGAAGCAATAACAGTTATATGAATATTTCACGCTCATGATTGTTCAAATTACATCAAATGCAATATTTTCCCCTTTAGTCATACACTGCTTAGCATCGCTCAAACAAAAAATGGGGTAAATTGAAAATTACATTGTAATTTTGTGTTGTTTCATTAAATATACTATGGAATAGGAAAAGACGTATATCTTTATTTGAACAAATTTCTGATATATAGAATTATACCTTTGGTTTACTTACAGTGTCTGTAAACTTAACAAACCGTCAAAGGCATTATCTTCCAACATGGTGATTTGATTATCCACCAGATTCCTGGAAAGTGTTTAGTCAAATTATCGTCAACAGTGTTTAACTTTATTATCAAAGTAATTTTTACGTGAATGATCTGAAATTTTAACCATGATCATTTCAGTTATTAAGAGTGGAATTATTGTAATCCATGATAAGCTTCAGTATCTATTGGGGGATAAATTTAGACTTTTCTTTCTTTTTTATTTTTATTTATTTACTCTAATATTATTAATTCATTTTGAGCAAAATTATATTTTATTATACACAACATAACTGTATAGAAAAATCGTCACTAACAGAAACCATCATATCAGAATAATGCATAATTATTTTAACAGTAACTTGAACTGACGAGCCTGATCACGTCTCCTTGACATCAGTGACAATCAAAGACATTTTTTTAATTTGTACTATAAAACACGTTCGTGCATGTAAACTGAAACACACTGCTAAAAACCATTACCGAGCATTTCTCTTATTTTTGACACCTGCAATTATTTTGCTGTTAGGATCAATGTATCATATTATTCGAACTTATTTGTGCAGATGTTAAACAAGACAACTTATTCTTTAACCTAGACCTTGTTAGCTGAAAATTTCTTGTCGCACGCGTGACGCAGTGGTTAGAGCGTCTGCTCTTCAGTCGAGGGGTAAGGAGTTGATCCCTACGTTGCGGGTTCGAACTCACTGCAAGACGTGGTGACCAGTCCTTCGGGTGAGACCGAATAAGCCGAGGTAGATGTTGGCAAGAAAAAGATCCCTCAATGCTCGATGGTCCTGAGTACCGGGAATAAATATATTCTTTCAACCCACCCCCACCAGCAAGGGGTGGCGTCTCCATATGAGTAAACAAAATTCTCGAGAGAGAAGTTAAATACAACAAACAAAAAGCATAACATTTTCTTCCTTTGGAAGTCCATTTCGCATGCTAAATCCGCTTTACTGCGCATACCTCAGGCGGTCATATTTCCGATATACAGTCAATAAGCTATAATTATTATTTTGTATAGTCGTCATCATTGAATAACACATCAAACAATAAGATATTCTTTATTGGTTTTGGTGGCATTCAGTTGTTTGTTTCCGTTAAGTCGGTAATGCTTCAGTTATTGCAATTAACACCCACTACTGACGTTGGGTACTTAAATTTGTGCAAATTACTAAATCCAGAGCAAGAAATAAAGCATAATTATCTTTTCATATTATACTTGCTAAAATATTATACAAAGATTATTTTTTCTGAATCTAACAGATAAAATGAAATTTGAAAATAAAATGAATTGGAATCATGAACAAAAGTCCAAAGAACAAACTTTTAACTGAGAACAAAGTAAACATGGACCTAAAGAATCTATAGGTAATTGATCAAGGTGACAGGGAGGAGTCTCATACTGATACTGAATACGAGATCGTTCAAATCATTTAAGAAATGCAAAATACATATGTATCTGACAACTAAAATAAAAGTTAAACTTATCCACCTAAGACTTCTTTACGTGTCCAATATGTAGTCCATACACATGGCTGACATGCACATAATTTTACACCTGCATATGAAACCAACTAACATTGAATTTTAATCTTTTTTCAATCAAAGTGAAAGCACAATGTTGAAATTTCAACTCTTTTATGATGTAAACAGACTGGTAACTGGAATATATATTTTTTCTTATTTATTTCAAACAAGAGAAGGTTCTAAAATACAAAACCTGTATGTATCCCTCATTGGAAATAACTTCAATTTTACAAACTGTAAATTCCCCTTCTATGTTTAAGTTATTCATGTGTCAAAATATTCATGTACAGTTTTGATTCGAGGAAAAACGCATTGACAATGGTAGATCTAAGTGGTCGGATGGAATATAAGATATTCGTGCATTCGGATCATTTCAGTTAACAATTTTATGGTTTCCTGATCCTGGGTTCAACAGAATTCTTTCTTTTCTTCCTTTTTTATAGAGCCAAATTTATCAAGGATACGAATGGTATTTTTAAAGAAACCACATTAAGTACCTAATCCCATTTTCATTTAATTACGTCCGGATCGATTCGTTCGTCATTTTAACGCTTTACTATAAACTTCAAATTTGACATCAAGTTATAAAACGTTTAATTGAAATCGCAAGAGTTATCTCCCCCAGTGTGTTGTACGTCTTTAACTTACTGCTAGAGCCCTCAAGCGCTAGCAACTACTTTAGTCCAAATTCCTTGAATACGCATGCTCGGCTTCACAGTCGTGCATTCTCGAAAAACTGGGAAAACTACTATAGATAGACCCTACTATATCAATATCGTTGTATCATGTATCGTGTAGAGCACAGCTAAACATCTATACTCTAATTTCTGATTGGCTAATTCAGCAAATCTTAGAAATTCCAGAAACACGTATTAATACTAAGAATACTAAGAATAACGAATAAATTCATTATTTATATATTAAAAAATTCTGATGTTTATGGCATTTAACCTAACATGACCCAAAGGACCAAGCTACTTCACATCTTCACATTCGGAACTCTCTGGATTTCTTAACACAACATACACTTTGAGTTATTTTCTAATTATGCAAAATCTTATGCGTGAAAAGAAGAAAACACTTGCTGTAGCCTTCAACTCGACATTTAGGTACCGGTATATCGACGACGTATTGTCAATTAATAATGGTAATTTCCATTTCTACGTCGATATGATATATCCTGGTGAGCTTGAGATAAAAGATACCACAGAGTCCGACACTTCTGTTTCATACTTGGATATTTTACTTGAAAAAGACCTAATGGTAATCTAACTACCAAGCTATATGATAAACGTGATGACTTTAACTTTTCTATCATCAACTTCCCTTAGTAATGCAGCAGTATACCTTTATCAGATGCATACGGAGTATATATATCTCAGTTGATTCGATACGCAAGAGCATGCTCTACGTATGAACAAATTCTAAAACGAGGTAAATTATTGACAGGCAAGTTTATGAAAAAAGAATATCAGCAGTCTCGTTTCAAGCCATCAAGTTCTATGGTCGATACAATGACCTTGTCAGCAAATACAATTTATCATTAAGTCAAATGCTGACCGATTTTTTCATACCAATTGTTAGTCCATTATTTATACACTGAATTGACGACGGATTTTTTCCGTTATTTCCGAATCATGACAAGGAGCACATGGCGGGTGTGACCGGTCGCCGTGTGCTCCTTGTCATTAAACATGAAATTGAGAAAATAAAGATATACAGTTGAGTGTGTTTATTGACCTTGAAAGGTCAGTTTTTAATATTAAAAAAACATTAATATAAAAAAAACTTGAAATTAAATTAGATTTGCAAGCTTATGCATTTTAAATTGTAAGATTCTATTCAGTTCACAAATTCATTGGTCATTGCTTTCCATTTTTTTTAAGACTTTGATCGAATTTGATTATTTATCCCGTAATAACAGACTTTCAATATTTTAGATTTAAATACTCGTGCTTACAGTGCCTTTAAGTTTGACAAAACATGGAAAGCGTTATCTTCCAGTGTGGTTATTTGATTCAGTAGAAGATTCGTGGAAATGTTCCGTCAAATGAATGTTAATGATTTATTTACTGGGGATTAAATTAATGCTTTAGAGATACAAGAGATACATTTTTTTATTAATCCAATTTGGGCCCCGGAGGAGCAAAAAGATTTACAAATAGAAAGAGGAGGATCCAAATGATAGAACAAGCATGATGATGATATTACAAATAAAGAGCAATTGGTAAAAAAAAAAAAGTATATAAGAGATATACTGAATATACATACATGTATTGTATTGTAAGTTACATACAAATATATATAATTTATACATATATATATATATATATATATATATATATATATATATATATATATATATATATATATATATATAGTTAAATGCAAGAAACTGGGAAAGAGGTATATAATTTTTTATGCTTATCACAATATCTTCAATTAAGGTAAATTACTAAGGAAGCAAGTGATGTAAGGATGTCTGGGTCTTCATTAGTCATGAGCCAATAAAATTGATTATCATAAGATAGAGACTGAAAACTTTTACATTTAATTTTACAAATATTTATGAGTTTAAGTCTTTGTACATTAAGATGAGGACATACAAGGAGAAAATGAATTTCATCCTGAATCTCGTTGTGATGACAAAATGAGCAAATTCGTTCCTCTCTAGGTATTTTGGGTAACGTCCAATTTCAATTTTAAGCCTGTGGGCCGATATTCTTAACTTTGTTAACTTTGTTAATCTTTAAACAGTTAAAGATTAACTTCAATATATTTACTCAACAATCTTTTTGGTTTCAATTTATTCAAAATATGATATTTTGTTGTTGTTTTGAAGCGGATGATGGAGTGCGACCTTTAGTATCAACGTGAACAGAATCGGGAAAATTACTTAAGCAAAAACTCTTGTATACGTTGAATGAGTTAGAAGTAATTTTTTTTTTAAGTTAAAAGAACAAAAGCACGCTTTTAAGATGTCGTGCGTGTTATTTTGAATGTTTTATTTTTATAAGCTTGAAAATTACACGGTTGCATTTATTTTCAAGTTAATCATAAGTTAGATGTACGTAGCAAGTTATCAATGCTTATGTTTCAGCACGTTTCATGAAAAAAATCTCATACACCGGTGGGTAATTATCTAGCGTGTGAACAAATATTGGGAACCTAATTTTTACCTATCGTTAACCTTTACTTAACATGTATTTTACATATTATTCAAAGCTGTACTACTAGCTTAAGTTGCTGTCATTCTACGATGTGTATATGTAGTATTAACGTATTCAGACGTACAAAGAAAGAAAAATGTGATGGCTTACGTTGAATGAGATATAGATAGGTTTGTTAAGAAGATGATGTATGTTGGTGTACGTTGTAATGCATTTAATGAATAATTTTTGTGCATGCTCAGATCTTTTTAGGTATGCCACTATATAAGCCAGTAAAATGAAGGAAAGTTGTTCATGCGTAAGACTTTGTTATGTGTGTTAGGGCTACTCATACGTTTTAAAAGTAACATCCTTTTGATATACCATGCTTCATAATATCTGCAACCATTTAAATTTACGAATGAAGTATTCTTTTTGAATTATTCTTAATACAAATATACCAAATTATTTGTTAAAAATTCAATATTTTAATCTTTGTTTTCATAATTGAACATTTATTCACGAAAATGTAGATCAAAAGCGAAAAATCAAGATTTTAATAGATTTGCCGTAAATGACGTGCATTTTATCGGTCAACTAATATAAGACGTTTGAAGAAATATGTAACTCTGGCGACAATTCCAGTGGGAGTGCAAGAGTCCTAAAAGGGGCATTTGAAAAAATCTGAGAATGGTTTGATAAAATATTAAACGTTGAATGAAAGCTAATGAGTTTGTTTTGAGTTTCCATTGAAAAGATCACATTGTAATTTCATATCACGTAATATCTCAGAAAATCACGTCAAAGTCCGCGTGTTTAGTGTACTGACAAAAAAATGAGGTACCGAGATCGGCAATTTCAGGGAGTTGAATTTAAAAATCAACAGTTGTTTATTACTTGGATTTACGCCAACGGTTACAATTGCCAGATGGAATAATGTTTATACATTATAGACTACAGTCTATTATATTGGATTTAAAAAAATGACCAAGTGACCGTAATGGCTTCATGATGACCAGCAAAATACAGTATACTCTACCTTTAGGCATTTGCATTGCTAAATGTCCCTCAGTATGTCACCATTTACAATATAACTATATAAGCCTTGTTAACCTGTCATAATACAAATAAATACAAAACTTATTTCTCAAGTTAAATGGGAATTTTAATTACTGTAATTTAAACATATCAGTCAGTCGAATTGCCCAACGGACCACCGACCTAATTTCCTGTAGAAAAGAAAACCAGTGAATTCACAATATACACAAACTCATTCAGAGGGAAAATAAACCTTGATTAGAAGCATTCACCAGTGGTTAACAAGAAAAAAAAAGGTTTAAATAGTTGTCAATTAAGCAGAAAATATACATGCTGGTACAAAGGGAAAATAATCTTACGCTCTTCCTTCATTGGTTTGATTTACTTACAGTGTCTTTAAATTTGACAAACCGTCGAAGGCATTATCTTCCAGATTGGTGATCTGATTCCCTTGAAGGTATCTAAAACATTGTTATATGTACAACATAAAGATAACGAAAAGTAATCCATGTCATAGATCTAGTAAACAAAACGAATCGTCAACAGAGTAAAAAATAGCGGTCCATGGAAACACCAGAGGAATGATTAGGTGTCTAGGTGTAGACATGATATTTCAACCATTAAAGAAATTTTCTCTCATGTTCTTATCTTGGTGATATGGCAATATCTAAAGTAACTGATCAAAATTTAGAATTATGTTTTACATATTTGTGCCACAAGTAGGATCATTTTTTTATTAAAATGAAACATGAGTGAAAACTCAAAACTTTAGACTTCATATCAATAAGAATTTGACTCTCAGTATTAATATATAAATGAATGATGGTTATAGAAAAAGACCAAAACTTGCTGCATATTTCAGTAAAAATGTCGGTAAGATAGTGAACAAATATCCAAAAGTTTATATACTGCACATGAATAAGAAAATGCATAAGTCAGGAAATAAGCCATCGAATGTGTTTATTTAAATACATTTATAATTTAATATCCTGGATGCAATGCATTCATATCGTCTAATACTTTTATAGATGATTAGCGATGGAACATATCTTAAGATAGAATGATCATCTTTCATCCTTAATTGAAAATCCGTCTGTTTCTTTTAAATACATGTTCGTACTTTTTAAAAAGAAATATATATTTTATATTTAACCAAGCACATCAACTTATCTAATCTTAAAGAGAGAAACTATTTCAGTTAAGAATATTTATTTGTCAATCAAAGACAGATTTTTGGATTCTTTGGTAGCTAGTAGAGTTTATACTTAGTTCGTCTAACAAGTAAAGTGAGATATAGTGCAAATAAAATACATAGATTTTATAATCACTGCACTGGAAGTTAACCCCCTTTTTGCATTAAATCTGAAGAAAGGCTTTTTTTAAAGAGAGAGAGAGACACCTGCAATACTCGATATTCAGATTGGATACATGCAACCAGTAGAAACAAAACTGATAGTTCGAACAATGAAAATGAATAAGAATAAGAAACTGAAGCGGTGCGGACAAAGGACAACCCCTTCACCATTGCATGCAGTCAATAAACAGAACTCCCCTTCACCACTTTCTTAAATTCCACCATCTGAGCCCATAATGCCCCTACTGAAAATACAACAAACAGCCCCATCAGTGGGGAATGTTTTCGTTTCTACCCCTTAGCAAATTAGTCGCCATGAATTAATACGGGCCTCAAAAATCAGAACCAGATATGGGAGGCAGGAGCCATGGATCCCTTACTGCTTGCTTAGACTGAATGCAAATTAAAGATTGCCTATCACTATGGGATTTTAAGTTAAACAGGGGCATCCGTGTACTCATCAACCAAAAACTACTTTGCTAAAGTTGATCTGGTGGAATATTTTGTTTATTTAGATAAATTTTTTATATGAACATTCAACATGGGTTCATGAATTACTTAAATGCCTCTGAAATGTAAGAATTGCTGCTATATTTGTTCAGATATGTAGTACAGGTTTAAGAATGGCTTATCATAGGGGACTATTTATAAAAAATTCTGGTTGGTGTATATTTCTAACAAACAAGGTTTAGGAATAACTAATCAACATATTATAATCAAGGGTCATATTAGCCAAGAATTTTCTTATTGTACATCTCTAACAAATTTTATTTGGTATACATATCTAGACTTCAATAGGACTTATACCAGAGGAAGGACTTCATCCGACGTCATCACGTGACGTCTATAATTAGAAAATATGCCTTAAGCTAGAACCTATGTCGGAGAAGTCTTTGTCACAAGATTTTCAAACTTTTCATAATGATAAATTAACACTTGCTTATCAATCAGTTAAAAGCACATGACAGGTTTCCTTGTTATTAAATGTAAGGCAGCCAGTTAAACATGGAATGATAAATACATATTGCGACTTCACAATTTCAGTCATTTTAGAGGTACTTGTCATGCAAAGAAGACAAAAAAATCCCAAAATTACATCTTTAAACATCGTTGTTCTTATTGTTTATTGATTGAACAGTATTAAACAATATTTCCCGAGAATAAGTTCTTTTTTATTCAATTGACATAAAAGATAACTCCACATTTTCAAAATTATAGGCAAATGAACTCTATTTATTTTCAGTCAATTTTCCACCCTACATTTGTAAATATTTTTCAGAAGTCTTTGTCACAATGTAATCAATCTTTAATATGATAAAGAACATACCCAAATGATTACCAAAAGTGATTAAAATATACTGAAAGGAAAAAGAAACGCACAAGAACATGATATGGGAAATTTTTCTGACTATGTGACCGTAATTATGAAAATTGGTCAGTTGTTTATTTTGGTTACTTTGCACTAAAATCACTTGTCAAATCTACTCAACCATGAAATGTATGGGAAATGATAAATAGTCAAAAACAAGTGCATGATAATGATGATAATTTTGTAATAAAATTTTGTAGTACCATACTATGCATTAGAATAATAGACATCGTTTTTGCATATTTGCACTCAGTATAAATTTCTTGCAATCGTGGTATGGCTGGCGGAATCTACTGTGCGTTTAGTAGTTGAATTCAATATTGTATAAGTGAATAAAAAGGCAAAAACATGCAGATGTACAGATTGTTTTCAACTTTTCAACCAAATAAAAGTGGATTTTGGTTGTCAGAGAGTGAACTTAAAATTTTTCCAACCAACAATGACGGTGACGTTGGCGCGTACCAGCGTCACAACAAGATTGACGCCATCTCGGTTATTGTCAAGGCATTACCACCGAAACTGAAATTTATACAGTAGACAAACATACTCACTTTTTTCACCCTAAACTGACAGAAACTCTCCGCTCTAATTTAGGCCGCGAGCTTGGCCAGCTTACGTCAATTTTACTCTCAAACGCACACGTACGCGTCGTTTGCGTAATGCTTTTTTAGCATGTTTACACTGGAAAAATGTAGCTTATATTTGTCAATACTTTTTTACAAACATTCACAAGTACCAAACCTGCTGGGTTCTGTATATTCTATCCTAAATCGAAAATTAGCGGGATTCGATTGAGCGGGGGGATTTGTTGACTTTGGAATAATACAGCTAATCTCAGCTATAAAGTCTACCGTCGGAAGGGTTAACTAATAATGCTATGAAAAAATAAATGCTCTGGTGAACTCAATGCACAGGAAAATCAAGTTACTGATGCGAAAGAGAGATTATAAAAATTTTTAGTTTTATTTTGGGGGGTGTCACCATATTGATATCAGTATCTCAGGAACTATCACTAAAAATCGCATAAAATTTTGGTAAATTGTTAATTAAAGATGAATTAAAATGTATGATAAAAATGCTGAAAAACATATTTGAAATAATTGTTTTAATTTAACTCAACAGTTTAATACGCGTTTCTTAATCCTTACAGTATATATACATTTCCCCTCTAACTAATGAGAGATAGGTTATTTACAGATGCTAATATTCTTGACCTTTTGCACTTACATGGATTTTATTATTAAATGACTGTTTGGGGCTACTTTCAGATTAAAAATGTTTATAAATATGTACTTTTAATTTAAAAGATCATATTTAATAGAGAAATTGTAATAAAACTCCAAGAATATGAATAAGTAACAAATAATTATAAAAAGGAATGCACATCATTTCATGATAGATTTCACAAAATATACACACAATCAACAACACGTACATATTTGACTTAGACACATTTAATCAAGATATAACACTCTTTAGTAGGCAACTGACGATTTTTTTAAAGGATTTTTGCATTTCTTCAAAATAGTTACATACCATTTTCATTATTACAGTAAGTTGTAAACATGGCAATTTCATCACACACGATAGTCTTGGATTTATCAACTTAATTCAGGTCAAGATCTATTAAATGAAAGGTGCCTACAGGTTTCTCTTATTTATAAAAAATATATTCATTAAGCATTATGTTAAAAAATATATATAAATCGAATTAAGATTATTTAGGCATGATTTTAAATTGAATTCTGTCAATTTCAAAATGCAGAATTTTCTACCATTTCTATACTGAGGCTGCAAAGTACGGGAAATGACATTGAATTAATTATGATGGATCTAGCAGAGGCTAAACACATTCACTAGTTATGATGTCATACGACGTAGGTTCTACTTCAATATCAAAGTAAAAAGTTCAACACTAGCCCGGGGATAATTACTTTCAATTTATAATAATAATTATGTAAAAACATCTCTATACCATGAAAAGTGCTGCTAGAATCCTACTGTCCTATCACAAAAAGTATTATTCAACACTTTTAGACGAAACCTTCCCAAAATTTTTACATTTTGCTCATAACATCGTAAAAATTGCATAAATTCCCGTAAACCATACGATTCTAGCAGCAATTTTCCAAAAACAGAACGAGAAGTTTAGATAGAAACAAAAATTAAGTTTCAAAGTATACGGCGTATACGTAGTGTTGAACTTTTGCATCTTTTTTGTTACGGACGACAGAGGAAAGGCTGATCGGCAAGTAAACACCCTTACTGCTTTAATTGTAGAATTATATTAGCATACCTTATTCATAAGCTTTATTCCCAAAAGAATCTCACATGATATTCATTATAATTGCTTTTAAACTCCGATTTCTTGTGATTGTTTACATGAATTCTCGTTACGTTTCACTTTCACTCTTCTACTGCATGATCAACAGTTTCGACGTCACGGGTTTGGTATTTACACCTGTGATAACTAAAGAGACCCAGAAACGATAAAATCCCCTTTATATTATGCCTCTGCATATTTTGATTCATTTTTACGACCTCAAATCAATATTTGGTATTGATTTTAAGAATTCAATATTTCTAAACTTCACGTCATATAGCTTACTATGACGTCATATCATATAGGCAAGTAAAATGTTGGTTATAACCTTAACATACCTGCGTGAAAATAATCGTTTTATTTTTGGCTAGGTTTTTTTTCCAATATATGTAGTCTAAGTATGAATTTACAGGCAACTTGTCATGAGAGTTTAATCAGGTTTTATAAAAAAGCATCTTTGTGACGTTACATGACTTTGCTGATCACGTGACGGACACTTATGAGCTATCCATAAATATTGCACAAAATCGAATCGGCACAATTGCAAAAAAATATTATTGTGAAAAGTTTGTTATGAAATTCAATTCGTCGTAATCTTGGTGGTTAAATAAATTTTCTTAAGAAAATATTTTACGAGAAATTCATGTTACCCAGATATAAGGGAGCATTTTCCACTTTTTATCGCAAATTATATAAAAAAAATAAATTACCCACAATCCCCCCGCAAAATTCAGTTAGAGGACATACTTCTCTAGTAGATTTACATGGAATATCTTTAATTTATCCTTATTAATCATTTGTGCCAGTCAAATATATACACAAGTAATGAATTTCAACTCAGTCTACGAACGTGGAAGCGTTTCACATGCATTTTTTGTTAATGTGTAAATATGTGCAAATCGGATAAGTGAAAGGCATATCAATATTAATTGCAACATCACTACAGCACACTGGAATTTAAAAAGCACTTGAATTCAACAATTCCAAAAAATCTACCTTTCATATGAGAGGAATGTAAAAAATAAGACACTTTACCCGTCATTTAGCTCATGCATGGGGTGATATGACATCATTTGCTATTGTGATGTCATATCTAGGTAGTTCAGAGAAGTAACTACAATTGGAACACTTTGGTATTTTACGGACAACCTTATCCTAGCCGTGTATGAAGACCTCATCCATTTTTCTCGTGTTTTATTAAAATAATAACTGTTCGAATGTCATTTGGAAGTCAGTTGCTGAACTGAGCAGTTTCAATCTCAAATGAAATGTTCAGATAAACAAAACTTTAAAAGCTAATGTCAAACTGAGCATTGAAGGAATAGAACATTTTGACCCCTGTAAACACCAAAGTGAAATCATTGTCACGGAGCAGTAAGCTATCCCTTTCGACCATCCAAATGAGTATATGCTGTTTTTTGCCGAGTAAGCATTATTTCAGCTACACGTCAGGGAAAGAAAAGTTTTAACAGTAATGTATTTCATAGAAGTAATTATATATAAGTTCTCAGATTTGCCTGCAATGCTTCTAATAGGAAAACATCCACATCAAACAGATATGTCAGACCCTGTAATGTTATTAACGTTAGGTTTAATGGGATACAGAATCAACGTACGAATGAAAATGAATAATGTTATTTGATCACGTTTTCAGTATATCTAAATGTCAAAGTAAATGCCACTGCAGAGACTTCTATTTAGATCACCTGATCTGAAAACACCAGTTTGCTTTTCTAATCGTTAGTCCATCCGTTTTTCTGTTTATCTATTCACTAAACACAAGGCTAATTTGAACTAAAATTCGTACAAAGCATCTTTGGGTGAAGGGAATTTTAAATGATTAAGGTAAAGCACCAAGCTCTCTGACAAGGGGAAATAATCACGAACAGACAAAATAAAGTTGGGTAATTAAAAATAACGTTCTCTTGATCAGGAATCACTGGATCATAAAAGCTAAAACGTTTGTGGAAGCATCCTGGGGTAGTGTAAATTTTAAATTGTTAAAGTCTGGGAGTAGAGTTGGACAACAACAGGGAATCAAAGATTTACAGTAAAATGTAATAGAATCAATTCTGGTCAAGAAGAGCCAAAAATGATGTGGAAGCTTCTTAAAGTAGAGTAGATTCTAAAATGTTAAAATCGCTCCCCCTAGGTGGTAGATTTTGGCCACAATGGGGAATCAACGTTTTACATTGAAATATATATAAAATAATAAAAAATATTTTCAAAAAACCTTATTTTCGGTACCCAAATGGCCAGTAAAGTTTATTTTTTTTTTTGAAAGCCTTCTTCGGTAGTGTAGACTTTACATTTTCCAAACCATGGCCCTTGGGAGTAGAGTCGGACCAAAATAAGTATGACAATGGGGGAAAATCGTGTGAAGAACAGCAGAGCCAAAGTCTTTTATGTAAGGTTGTGACCAATGAGCTCGGCCTCTTGTTTTGTAGAGAGTTTGAAATGTATTCTGCTTTAAATTAATACAAAAACAGATCTGCTGATTAAAATCATAACTAGTACATAAATAGGAAATCCCACAAGTCTAACAGATCGCTGGAAGATATCGTCTCCAAACACTAAATAGATATTGTTAAGAAGCAACTATACATTGTAGCATCTCTAATTATCGACTTCAGTTCAATTTTCGTGAAGAATCCGATTGATTTTTCCTAAATAAATGTGATTTTGCAAAGAAAAGTTGATGGCAAGGTACAAAAAATAAGATAATTGATCAAGGAGACATGGAGGAGTTCTATTCTGATACTGAATGTTTACTTACAGTTTCTGTAAATTTGGCAAACCATTAAAGGCATTGCTCCGAATTGTGTTTATATTGTTGCCATTTAACCGCCTAAAAAATTGAAATAAATTCATATGTACAAGGAGTTTTTATGTCCCGTAATTGAAGATTTGGGGGTACATAGTTTTTGCTCTGTCCGTTCGTCTGTCTGTCTGTCTGTGTCATGGAACTTTTGAGAGTTTATATTTTATTTTATAAAGCGTTAGTATACACGCACACTTATATTATGTTTTGTATGCCGTCATAATAGTATACCTTACCACAAGGTCATAAATAACCTTTTTTCTACTGTTAAGTTAAGAGTTCTGATAAACACCAAACAGTACAGAAGTGTAGAGAAGTGTTTTTCATATCTTCGAGTTATCAACTCAAAGTATTCTCGTCAGTCTGTTTTTTCTGTTTGTGTGTTTGTCCGCCAAAAAATAAAAATCATAGTTAGAATTTGTATTCACTGTGTCAACACATTTGACCTCTTTACCTCGACCTTGGAGTTTGATCTACTTTTGCAAGAGTTCACCCAACTTTAGCCTTGGACAAGTCTTGAAAAGTTGATGATAAGGCTTACATATTTTAATTTTTGGATTATAATTTTCAAAGTAAAACTTACAAACTATGTCCTGTCCTGGGCCCTAATACTGATCCTGGGCATATTAATTTTGATAATAGGCTGAGTATTCATTGTAATCATGTACCCACTTTGCCTGCTAGATGCGTAGGGTTACCATATAATTTCCATGATATTTAATACATGTTCTTTTATCAGATCTAGATATACAATGGAATAAGGAAAAACATAATGTCTTACGTAACCTATCATAACCACAGGCATCTAAAGTGTGGATCAATATCCCCCTTTTTGATTAGAAAAAATGTAAGAGTATATAATATCTCAAAAGTATAAAATCCCCCCATCAAACAAATCTATTTGTTATTCTGTGCAACAAGACTGCTGTACTTTTACTCACGTTTAAAGAATGACCTTATACGGTATAATAAAAATACACAAGGTAAGAAACAAAAGTTGTAAACAACCGTTGGATTCCCTTCGAGACAAATTTCCAAGGTAATAACAGTGTTACCTATCATAATTTTGCAAGCAAAAGCTGTTAGGGAGATGTTCTTCTACTGGTCTCTTTAACCTAAAATCCGCCGTTAGTGTTTGACATGCTGTAAAAGGACGATTTATTAATCAGATAAATTTTCTTTTTTGAAAGCTTTGGAGGAGGATTTAGAGTCGATTGGTTACGAATTTAAACTGTATCACAGTTATCCAATCAGTTAAGGCGAAATAAAAGTGCGACATATTGATCTGTTTGACGGGGAAATTCTACATTTTTGAGATATTATACACTCTTACATTTCTTTTAATTAAAAAAAGGGTATTGATCCACATTTCAGTTCCTGTATTTATAACCTATTGCTACTGGTATTATACAATTACTTTTGTTGTTGTTGTTGTTGTTATTTTTTTGGTCAGTACGATGATCTGGCTTATTTCGGACTCTATTAGTACTGTACTGTACAGTACTGTCTATGAATCTATCGTATTGAGTGACATAATTAAACAACAATTGTTTTAGTACATGATTCAAAGATTAAATGATACAGACTCATAAAAGCAAACCATGCCATCTTTCTTGTTTATATTTATTGTTTTAGCCAAAGCTGGATTAAATAAGGATAACCATTTGTATTAATTTGGAATCTTTTTGTGCTGTACTCTACAAAATAAAGTAAATGTCAGTGCACATTGCATCATTTGTAAGGGGGTGTGGGACTTATTAGGGGAAAAATAACAACTTACCTGCGGAAAATTTGAAATGACACCCCCACCCCAAGATTCTATGTGCCTGAATGTTATGTTCATCTTGTTTATTAATGTAACAAGGATCTTTTTTTAGTTTTCTGTGTTAAATTGTGACGGGGATATAAGACATTTTATAAATGTTTTCTAAGTACAGTCAAAGTTCTAATTTATATTCAGAAGAAATGAGGAGCGGGTAGGAGGCACACACCATACCACAACCGGATTTTAGGTGCCTGAATGTTATGACACATGCCTAAAAAAATGGTCAGGTAATATGATTTTTCACAATTAATTGTGTCAACTAATTATTTTAACTTGGAAATCCTCATTATTTTTAGTCCAATGTAGAAATAATAAATCCTAACTGTACGAAAATTTACGCCCTGACTCCAGACAGAATTCAGAACACGGAATCCGCTTATTATCTATAAGGAGCTTAATTAGACTATTAGACGGAGTCCGGGTGGAGTCAGGGCGTAATAGGGCTCGAAATATTTAAATGAGTTAAGGCGTATTCCGCCTTTCCTAATATGGAATACCTGCAAGGCGTATTCAGCCTTACCTACAAGGCGTATTCCACCTAACCTGCTAGGCGTATTCCACCTGAACTGCAAGACGTATTCCGCCTTACCTACAATAGGCGTATTCCGCCTAACCTGTAAGGCGTATTCCGCCTAACTTCACGTAGGCATATTCCGCCTTACTAGCAAGCGGTATTCCGCCTAATGGTTAGAGGGGTTTTGCATTAATGTTTACATAATCTACATTTACTTATCACAGTGTATCAGATCTTTTACAAACTTAACAATAAATAAAATTAAATTATACAAATAATATATCATTTATTTTTTAGTTCTTTAAAATTCAATGACTACAAAACATGTTTACATTTGAAAATGTCCTGACTTGCCTTCACATGAAATTAAAACTTAAAAGATAAAAAATATTGTACCAAAAAATAATTGAACAATTAGTTGTTAATTTACAATTGGTTGAATATTTTCACAAAATTCTTTCTGTCTGTAAGGAAATAGTGTGTCATTTTTATTGTTCTCCTTCCTACATTATCAGTGGTATAACCTGGCTATCTTTTCCATGATTCCAGCTTTCCTTTGCCATTCTTCACACAACACATGATGAAGTCTGTAAAGAAAATACATAACTGAGATGAATTTGTCATTCAAAAAAAAAAAACTTTAACATTTTTCAATAAAATGACTCTTTTATGAATTCTGTTCTGTATTACAGATCAGCTAGGATGCAAACATTCTTGTGTGATTTTTCTCAACACTAAAACTTACATAATATAAGAATGATTTTTTATATATATCTATCAGTTGCCTGATATCTTCATGTATTCTTACCTCTCATAACCTGCTGTAGCGGTCAGCCGGTTAAGTCTATAGATAATCTACATAAAGCACATGTGTAAGATTGCATTTCTCTTCCCCATGAATCTTCAGCAAGCTCTCAAATGAGAAGAGCAGAATTGCCTGTTTACTGGTAAGGGTGGATGGACGTTTGCTTCTGGCCTTCATCCTGACTTGCTGTGGTTGCCGCTATCCTCATTTTACCTTTATTCAGCCATAATCGCTGAGTACTTGTACTGCTCAAAATGCTGAAATGTATAACACTGCACTCAGTGCACTGCAGAAAATCCTAATATTTTCTATTTCAATATAAAAGAGGTTTTAATCAAGGTACCAAGTACGCTCATACAATGCTCCCTATACGTTCGTACTACGTTCTCACTACGATCGCTCTACGTTCCTGAAGATCCTACGAAGACCTTCAATGACCTTACGCCGATCAAATCACGACCTATTAGACAGGAGTTTGTTCTTATAGCGCTTCATCATCAGTAAACTACATGTAAAGGGTGACACTATACTTGACAATCATTTGCAATTGAGAATTTTCACATCTTATTACAGTTAAAATTGAAAATGCCCTTAAACCATATGGTCAAGACCGCAAAAAAAAAAAAACCGCGGTCACAAGATATGTATCATCGCTAAAATCGTAGTACAAATATCTGCGATTGAAAGACACCTATATAGATTTACATCATCGTCAAAATCGTACTAGAAGCGTAATGCAATCGTAATATGATCGGCACCACCGTAGCGACATCGCCGTACAGTCATCTAGGTATGCGTAGCATCGTAGTATGGTCTTTAACAGTTTAATGTCGTAGTGGCAGCGTAGCGTAAATGCAGTAAACACGGCCGATTGTCGGCAACGGTCTGCGTAACATCGTACTAGAAGCGTTTTAGCATCGCGTTTGACGTAGCGACATCGTAGTATGGTCGTCGGGAAGATCACAATTTGCGAAAATTGCTCCATTTAGACGCCGATCGGCTGCGATCTGCCCCGATCCAAAAAAAAATTAAGATCGTGGCTTGATCGGGATGATCGCCGTAGAGTCGCAGTTCTGTGTGAACGGGGGGGGGGGGTTAAGCAGCGAACTACACTTTTAAAAAGGTGTTTGTGTATCAATTCCACTAACCCTGGTTAAAACAGTGCTTACACACAAACATAACAAAATTTTCAACCGTGATTTTAAAACTGGAAGTAAGTGACGGTCACTAATTTTAAAGGGAAATCATGTTTCCGGAAAACACATTAAAATAAGAAAAGGACATGTTACTTAATAATTGATCAATGGATTAATTTATTTATTTTCCTATCTTTTATCTCTGTATTTTTTAACAATTTACTCCAAAAGGGAAACAGTCATAATATTGAGAAAATTTGCATGGGGGGGGGGGGGTTGGTTGAGGCTACCCTATACATTTGGCAATAAGAAATGGCACCTGAAATTTTAAGCACATTTTTCTTTAAAGATCTGGGTTAGTGTATAGTGTATTGTGAATATATGGGACTTCAATGCTATTGGATTTAATTAACAGAGTAATGGTGGAGTCCAAATTTTGGCTGTACGAAATAAAAAAGAGAGAGAGGGGGAAAAAGAAATAACAAAACAAAAAACACGGCTTAGAATTTAACTTACCGTTGTTTTCCACATTTATTCCCGTACCGAGGTCCTTCCCAGTCCATTTAGCAGATGATGTTCACTGCCCAGCATAATTTGCTTCACTTCAAAGCTCAGTAGAATAACACTAAAAGTTGTCACTCTTTTTTTCCAACAAAACACATAACGAATGAACAATCATCTTCTTAATAATAATTTACAGGCATACATGTTGCCAAAAATCCTTTTTAACTTAATGAAATATAAAGATTCATCAACCAAATTGACAACAGTCATCACTTTCAAAATCTGCATTCAAACTGACCAGTGCATCCAAAATGAGGCTCTGGCTGAAAATTTCCGCCCCTGTAGAGGGGGTCAAGCAGTGCGCATTAGAAATTAAAGTATACATTGTATCTGGTATACAATATGGCAGCAAAAAAAACTTACTCATCTAGGAAACGCAACAATCAATGTTATATAAAGCATAATACTCGAAGTCAAATAACTTGATTAAAAGTTATGTTTGACTTTTTTTTACGAATATCTCCCCCATTAGTGCCTTAAGAAAACAAGGTCATCTAGAGGAATAAAACATGTGGTCATACTTTATTTATACTGTTCACAATCCTAAGATTACTGCAGATTCCGTCTAAGAGCTAAGCCGGAAAACGTCTAACAAAAATACGCCTAGGATTTAAGGTGAATCCACCTTAGATATGAGGCGGAAAACGGTTAAAGCTTAGACGTTTTCCATGTCTGCCTTAGGTACAGCTTGGTCCTCCCAGCACTTAACCGGAATCTGTCTCAGTCCGCCCGGACTCCAGCCGGAAAACGGTTAAGAGTTTCGTACGGGTAATGTTCACCGTAAATTTCACATGCAGGTAAATAAAACGTTGTTCTTTTCTATAATATTTTAACTCCGACAATCAGAATCAGGAATTATTTTGTCATAAAAAAATGAAATATTTATTCAATGTTTGTTTACTTACAGTGTCTGTAAATTTAACAAATTGTCGAAGACATCACCTTCCAACATGGTGATTTGATTCCCTTCCAGATCCCTGGAGAGTGTTTAGTCAAATAGTCGTCGAAAGAATTGTACTTGATTATAAAAGTAACTTAATAAACTGAAAATTCAACTACGATCTTATCGGTCATTGAGGTGACTGAAATTATTGTATTATATGATAAAGCTTCAATTTTAATGGAGTTTACAAATTTTAATATTTTAAGATAATTTTCTTTTTCATTTTATTTTTTCATTTACTTATTTATTGTTTGAGCAAAATTATATTCTATTGGAAACATTTCTCCAAAGAAAAATCAAAAGACATCATATCAGCAGAATACAAAGTCCCTACGAATAATATATCTTTTAAGATAGATTATGTTTAGTTTTTATACAAATGAAATGTGAAAATAACGAACCGTGATCTAAGTACAAAAATAATTTGAAACGTGTTTGCGATGTCTCACAGAGAGGTGACTTAGGACTGATGTTGAAAATGCAGAACTAAAAGATCTTGAACCTAATGGTTACAATGTGATACATATATATAATCCCCGGGTAAATCGGATGATGATGTTGCCATCGTAATTCGGAAGGATATAAAGATAACAAAAATCCATATGAACCACTCCTTTACTCAGTTTGACTCTTGATTGTACAATGTCTACCAATGATTCTAAACCGCAGATTTGTGTAGTTTATTGACCACGTCCTCCAAAAGTTAGCAAGTTAACAATATGTTTGTTTTAAAATTTCAATGAATAGTTGGATTATATCAGGTGTCATGTGATCGATACAAAAGTACTGCTAACAATCTAATTAAGAGAATTTGTGTCCCCCGCTTCGGGAAAAAGTAAACCATGCACAGTTTGGGGGAGGGGGGAGGGGCAAATCCCCCTGACTGAATTTGTAGAATTATTGAATGTATACATGTATACTGAAGAAAATAAAATATGCCAACATGAATATAATAATTTGATTTCTCATTTCTTTATCATATGCATAGAAGATTCTTTTTATTTATTTAATAAATTTTTCATTTAACATGCTGGATACTATCATTTAGAAAAATCAGTATTTTGAAAATAAAATGGACTCGAACCGGGACCTCTCACATGTGAAGCGGGAAACTGACCACTACACCAATAAACCGCTTGACATTGATGAAAATTATATGCAAAGATGAAGTCACATGTACATGTATATATTCACGTTCGATATTGTCAAAATTTTACATAAAGCATGATGTCTAATTTTATTAAACAGTTCTAATAGATGGAATAAAAATACTAGAGAGTCTGCTATTGCAAACAATATGTCGCCCCGAACTGGACAAGACTTTCATTTTTGGTATCACTAAAACAAAACCCATTACCAAAGCTTGGACAACCATCGATTCGTATCAGTCCATTCAGTACTTTGATTTAAAAGTCAAAGTTAAAGTATTTTTACTTTCCCTTGGTTTCCATGGCAATAATCGATTATTTGGAAATTTTAAATGCGAATCGCACAACTACAATTACTAATCACTAAAATAAATAAGTTAAAAACTTCGTTCGGGGACATAATAAAGTCCGCGGAGAAACTGTTTTGTACGCAATAACTCTCCTCATGCCCCTGTGTTAAAAATAGCGACATGTATTAAATAAATACTAATAAAACAAACGGGGCGGGACACTTTAAGAGGGGTTAGACAGGTCTTTGGTAGTTTTGGTATAAAATTACATTGCGAAATCTCAAAATCTTCTTGAAATATCGCCCGGAAATGATAGTACTACACACAGACAGAATGTATAAATTTACGACCTTGAACTCTGACCTTTTGACCTCAATATCAATAGGGGTCTTTTTTAGGTCACAGGGAGTTGATATGTAAAATGTCATTGCAAAAGCTCAAAGGGTGCTTCTGATATCGCGCGGAAACGAAAGTGTTATAACAGACAGAATTTGCAAATTCATGACCTTGACCTTTGAACTTTTGACCTCAAAATAGAGAGGGTTCTTCTTTTGTCCATAGGGAGTTGCTAAGCAAAATTTCATTGCGAAAGCTCAAACGGTTATCGAGATATCGTGTGGAAACGAAAGCGTTGCAGAGAGACAGAAAGACTGACGGACGGACAGGCCCAAATATTCAAGCGGGGGACAATTATAGGAGACCTGAACTTTCATCTGGAAAACATGAGTGATATGTCAACGCAGATATTTCTAATACGCTATCAGAATATGGTTCACTCAACAAGTGAAAACATCAACACACGTTCATGGTCATCTGCTAGATGTTGTCATAACGAGAGGTTGTTCAAAATTGTTAAATACCCCCGACAGTCGATGACAGTTTCATATGTGATTTCAGAGGGATGTTCTGTAGTGATCATAAAAGAAACAATACGGTATCATGTATCTCAAAACAATCCACGCAACGCAAAACCGTTGCATCAAGGAACTATAAGAAAATGAACATCGACAATTTCAAAAGTTATCCGACTTTTCCCTTACATACATAACCAGTGAACGATCTGGTAAATATTTAAAACGATTGTGTTTGAAATACTGTTGACTAACACGCCCCCACCTTCGCATCAAAACATTGTTTTGTGACCGAATACTCAATGTTATTCAAACGAATTGCTACTTGCAAAACGTGAAAAAAGCACCTCAGAACAGACTGCCCGTTCGGACATGAAGATTTTCTCGTTTGTTGGTGCATAGAAAAAATATTTATAGAAAAGTATTTACAGTCTAGCGCTTTATTTACCCAAATAAAAAGACTACTTTTCATCCAAAATAATAGAGTCCAGAAAAGATTCAAAACAGTTATTCAGCATTGCTAACATTTTGACTGGTAATAAATAAAAAATCATTTTTGCCAACTTGTGACAATATATCAAATCTGTCGGATAACTTTGCGGAGTTTTTGAAGCAAAAATTCAAGAAATTTTAACCACACTTTTAAAACTAAACAACAGACATAAGTAGAATATATGTGTGCAGACAAAAGGTATACGGGAATACCGTTTCTTGAATTCACCACTTCTTCTGCCGAAGAAGTCTTAAAAATTGAAAATTGTGTTTTAAAAATGCAGCCGTATGGTTCTGAAGTTTGTATTCGATCCCTATGAAAATCTTGAAAACTTGCACCAAAAAGGTTCTACCAATCATCATGTGTCTTGTTGCCAAATAAGTAAGGAATTTTTCAAGATGATTTTAAATAAGCACTAGTTACACGTAAGCTGATTCTAAAGAAACCGTCGCTAAATGAAGAGTGTCTGAAAGACTGTAGGCCGGTTTCAAACCTGTCCTAAGTTTAAAAGATCATACAAAAACTCGTCCCAAAACATTGAAGATCATCTCAGTTCGATTCAGTCAGCATGTCGCTCGGTTTATTTCACAGGGACGCCCTTTTATCAGAGTTCATCTTGACATTGCGGTATCTCTTGACAAAGGATGTTGTGTTATGCTACTGATGCTTGATAAATCTGCGGCGTTTGATATCATCAACCATGATATATGTTTTCGTTGACTGGAATACTCATAGGCCCGGAATAGCTTGATCGGCCCATCCAGTGGCTACAATCGTATCTGAGCGGTAATTTACAACGCGCTTCGATTGGTTAAACACTATTGAAACGAAATGTCTTAAGACTGGCGTGCCCAAAGGTTTGATACTTGGCCAAAGTATCAACTGCATGTATGCAAAACCAATAGGAGAAATTTGCTTCAAAAACAACATGAACTATCATTGCTATGCAGACTGCACACAGATCTATATCTAGCTGCAGATCTGTAGCTATCCGAAGAAATATATATTGATAGACCGGATAGCTACAGTGCCACCCATTGAAAAAACTGTATATTTATTGCGCACAAAAAAAAGTGCGCTCGGTTCTTGATTATTTCTTCCAAATTCTTACATCAATTGCAAAAGAGGGAACATTTTAAAAAGTTTCTCTCTCCTCTATCAAGAACATTCGTAGTTGCCATCTGAACGAAGCATATTGGACCGAATTATCTTTGAAACCAGAATGGCAGTATATATAATCGAAATGTTCGATGATTACAATATCAGGGTCGGGAGGACTATTAACAACAATTATGAGGAATGTTTTTTTGTGGAAAGAGTAAAAGAATATGTTAGGAACACACGGTAAGTAATATTTTGAGATTACAGTTTTAGGAACATGGAGAAATAAATCGAGAGACAGCGCACTATTTTGTGCGCAATATACAGTTTTTTCAATGGGTGGCACTGTAGCTATCTGGTCTATCAATATATATTTCTTCGGATAGCTACAGATCTGCAGCTAATCTATATCATGATTTAACCCTGGGATAACTGGAAAAACATCTCCATCCGTCTAACTGCTTGCTTCAATGACATACAAAACTGGATGAGTGCAAGATTGCTTCAACTAAACTATGAAAAAATGGAACTCATGATATTTGCACATAAGACTAGTGGCCCTTTTCACAAAAAAATCTTACGTTTTTTGTAAGATCTTAACTTAAGAATCTCTTACTATACTACTAAATCTAAGGTGCTTTCCACGAACACATTTGTAGCAGATTAAACTTGATGTTTTACTTATTACAGAATTCGTCCCTAGCAACGATTTCAATATACTTTATAATCCTTACATTAGGGGATTGAAATAAAAATAAAGCTTAGTTTTCGACATTTGTCCGCAAAACAAACATTATTGACACAAATATTGAACGCAATCCATTGTGAAGTAAGGAAGTTCAAAATCTGACGTCACAATTAAACGTCTGACGTAAAAGTAGGTCATACAAAAATCTTAAGTGAAACTTATCGTAAATTTTTTGTAGTGTTTTTCATTTACTTTTTCGTCAATAATTGTGAAAAAAAAAATAAAATTGGATTTTGCTTTAAAAATGTCAATTTAATGTGCATACTGTTTTTGATCAATTTTTTTCATATCTGTACAATAAAACCGGTTTAAAAATACTTCAGAGA